AAAAACTTTTATATGTATTATGTAATATGCAATTTTTTATAATCAATTCCCACTGATCAGGCTAGCTCACCGGGTTGTGGTGAGCTGGAGTGGTAGCCAGACGTGGACTATACGGGTAAGGGTCTTGCAAACCTAGGTACGTATCCACGTCAGGAGGAAAGGGAAAAAAAAGTAGTCACATGTTTCGTTCCTAAATCGTAGGAGAAGACAGCCATCACATCATTACACAGAAAAATATGCTTTGCTAATTTTTATTCAGCGAAACATTACTATAATTTTTTTTTAAAATTATTCCTAATAAAATAAATTAAAAAAACCTAAGTCAAGTTTTTGATTTAGCTGTTTAATCTATAGGTCTAGTAAGTTTAGAATATTTTTTTTAAATTTTCGGTTATTTCTAACCCTCGTACTCACCACTGACGCTTACCCAACACGAAACACCCCATTCTCGAATCTCCTGTTTGGAAATGTTGACCACAAGTCGAAAAAGTCTTTCTTTTTTTTTATTCTTCAAATTTATTCAATTATTCAATTTAACCTTCTGTTTCTTAATCACTCCTTATTGGACCCGTTGCTAACTTGCACTCCGATGGTAGATTTATAGCCTTATTAACAGTGTTTGTTTTCTTATGAATGTTTGTTTTCAATTGAAGAGAACAGAGATTGCATCAGGGACCGCGGAATAGGGGTGCAGAGGGGTTATTAGCCCCCTCACATTTTATAAGCGAAGGGACACAGCCCTTCTAAGATTTTAATTTTTCACTTCATGTTTGTGAAATTAAATTTGCAATTAATAAAGCAGTTTTGAGTCTGAATTCTAAAAAAAAAGAAAAGGAAAGTCATTCCAAGCGAGCTTTAACATATACAAGATGAAAGCTAATACCAAATCATCCTTTACTCTTCCCCCCGTAGAGGAAATATGCGTCCCTGTTGCTGACCGATGGGTATTGGAAAGATTGATACAATATTAGAAAGACTGATACAGAATTAGAAAGCACTCTTTTCTAATGAATTAATCGTGTGAGCTGATGCGGAGATTATATATATATTTTTTTTAAATCTTTTTTTTAAAATTTTTTCTTTCTTTTTTTTTTTAAATTCTGTAATTTTTTCCATGTTTTCTATAAATTTTGAACTTTATAATATACATTCAGTTGACTTTTTTTTACTAATTAAATTCACTATTGGTTTTATTTTTGTAAATCAACTCTAGTTTTTCTTTCTTTTCAATTTTACGCTAATTTTTCAAAGTATCTCCCAGTAAAATATTTTGGAAATTTGGAAAAAGAAATGTCATGATATTTTCATTGTTAGAATTTAGTTGTCGTATCTTTAAATTTAATTGCAAGTAATTCAAAATGTTCTTCTTACTGCAACTTGAGCTTTTTACTGATTTATCTCACGTTGCACTTAATTATTTAAAATGTTATTTAACTTTATTCATCAAAACTTTGCGTTTATATTTCACAGCTCTCCGCAATAATAAAAGCTGTTAGAATTAAATTAAACTTAAAATAGTACCTTAGTTTTTAAATTTTTATGTCCAGTTAAAAGTAGTTCACTACTGTTTTTTCGATCGACTTTATTTTCCTGATTTATTTTACAATTTACATTACCTTTAAAAGAAAATTTTCTATTTTGTTCATCAAAACTTTCCGCTCATTTTTCAGTGAACTGCCCGATCGAATAAAAAAATTTAAACAAAAATTCAGCGTAACTCCTAATTGAAAAACGATTTCGTAGGCCAATATTTCACTTTCATAAAAAATTAAATAAATAAATAAAAAAAAAGAGAAACGTCGCAGTCGCATACCTTTATTCCACTGGATTGTTCAATGTTGAGTGATTGTTCCAAATATTTTAATCTTATTTCGATGAGCCCGTTGTATCGAGTTGTTTACTTTATCAGAAATGAATTAGAAATGAAATAAGAAACGAAGCGGGGTGCTCTTTTCTAAATTTAATATCAATAATTACTTGAACAAAATCCACCCTTTCATATAAATGAGAAAAACAAGCTCGCTTATGCGTACATCAACGCAAACATTGTTCCAGATAAACACTGAAATCTCATCTGTTTGCACTGCCGTTTGTGTTGCCAACAGAAATAATATAAATATCGGATCTAAAATAAAGATGGATTTCCCCTTTCAGATAATTGCCATTATCGATATCCGATAGAGGTAATAGATTCTACGCGATGAGATATCCCTACTTTCTTAATTCCTCAGGGGGAAAAAAAGGGGAAAAAAATTACTATTCAAATCGGAACTCAATAAAAATAACTGCCAATTTCTCAGAGAGGTTTGATTCTATCTTTTTTTTAAAAAACGAAAAGAAAAAGGAAAGCAATTGTTTATCAAAAATCCTATTACGAAGAGTAAAAAGCAAACACAAGATTCGATTACAAATCTTTTATTAGGACTTGGTTGAAAATGCAAAAAAGAACAATTTTAAACGGTTACTTTTTTTCAATTTATGTTTCAACACAGTTGAGTGAAGACATTTGAGTAGACGAAGAACAAAGGGAATTTTGATGAAGTTTAGGGAAGAAGTATCTTCGCTTTAGAAAAAAAAAAATCTTTTCTTCCTTTAAATTAATGAATTTGAAATAAAAGGATCGGTTTCCTCGAGGGAAAAACTGTTAAGTGTTTGAAGTTGAACGCTGGTTATATATTTATCGATGCTTTAAAATTTAAAAAGACTGCGCGCAACAAAGGATTTTACACATAAAAGAAAATATACGTTGTCTAGGATTTTGCAATTTCTTGCGAAATAGTTTTTAACTTCAGTGTAAAAACAGATTGGATTAGGAATTTACTTTACCTTCCTTTGTTTAAAAAAAAATCTTAAATTCTATTATATTCCCTGAAGAAAAGTGTTTTATTAAATTTAATTTTAGTTTTTACATAAATTTTCACATGCTTGTGTATATAAGGAAAAATAAAGTTGCTTTTGTATGTCTACAAATAAAGAAAAAAAAAGTATCTTCATTACATCTTAAAATCTAAATTCTTCATTCAGAATATTAGTTAAATAAATTTATTAGATAAATAATTAAGGCTAAACACCAAGTCTGTGATTGTCTCAAAAAAAGTTTTCCTCCTGCGAATTTGTTGGTTACATGTTTAGCAGTAAATTTATTGCCATAAATTTATTGTTTTTATAAGAAAGGTAATTATAAGAAAGGTTTAAGTAAGAAAGGTAATTTGTCAGAAGTTAGTTTCAAGTGAATATACTAGCAATATAATATTTCTTCTACTTTTTTTTATTAACCTATCAGACGCATATGGTAGTTTATTCATAGGTAACCGCTGTTGTACATGCTATAACACATTCGCAGGATAATTTAGCAAAAATGCTCAGAACTCTTATGTTTGTTTCCGAACTGGAAATATTTATGCACATTAAATTTTAGCATTCTTAAAGAGTTTTTAAGTTATTAGTCTGAAGCAATTATATGAAGTACCTACCAGATTACATCAGCTTTTATTCATCGTAAATTAACAATTACATATTTATTTTTGAATTTTGTGAATTCTAATTCCTTCATTAAATGATATTTACGGACCGGGACAGTCTGGTCGGTCGGGTGCTGGGCCCATGTCCGAGAGTTCGTGGATTCGAACTCCGCCGGCCGAAGACTCCCCGTGTAGTAAAGTGACTGATGCACGTTAAATCTGTCGAGTCGCAAAAGTCCTCCATGTTCCCATAACAAATCAAAACCTCTGGGGGTACTGGATTGGAGATCGATCGTTCTCTAATTCAGGTCGTCAAAATTACGATATGTGGATGAATGAATGGGTCCGCTGTATAACCGGTGCGACGTGTGGTGTGGCAGAAGTCGAATTCTTGGTCATAGATGGCGCCACTGGAAAACAAGAACAATCGTACCCCCTCTGCCTAAACAGGCATACGTCAACAACAACAAGGATATTTACATAAAATTTTACTTTCGTAACAATCCATTCTAAGGTATTAAAAAAGCCTAATACGTAGCAGTCATGTTGTTTTTGCAGGTTCATGTTCTCATTTTCGAGGCAATTTTTGTGAAGAACTTAACTTTTTTTCCTTCTTTAGTACCTGTGCTTCACAGAACAGACGTATGTGAATAGACAGGATGCTACGCAAAAGTTCTAAAATTCTCTGTAATCAAGTTGAGTCGTGGTGACGTGAAGAAAATTGTTGAATGCGCATGTGCCAACAAATATTAGACAGATCTAGGACGTTTACATACGCGTGCTCTGCGCAAATTTTCTAGAGAACCGAATTTGTCCTGTTGTAACTGTGATGAGCAGAACACTCGTGCATGAATATGTGGTGCTCTCAGAATGCTGCTTTAAAGTGCCAATTCTCTCAACTGTCAAGTTGAGTTTTGTCATAATGGTAAAGTGAAGATTTATTGTTCAAACAGCAAAATGTTTTTGAATTTTCATTAAGTATCAATATCAGTATCAAGATTTATAGCGTGTTTCCAACTCTTTTTTGTTTTTTGTTACTGCGTGTGCCCTAAGAGACAAGTAGCATGCTTTAAATTGTTCTGGTTAATTTATGAAGCACCTTGCACAAATAATTTTTACACCATATAACGCGTTTTAATTAGATATCTTTAATACCTATGCATTTGTGTGTAAACTAGAAAAAACTTTTTTAATCATAAAATAGTCACGTTGCAATTATTTGTGGTACAAAATGTATGTAAGTATATTATTGAAACAGATACTACGTTAAAGAGTTATAGAAATAGTTTTTAATTTTTTTTTGTCTGATTATGCGGTTTTTAAATTTTAACCAAGATTGAAAATTCTGTTGAAAAGAACACAAAATTTAATTGGTTTCATACACAGTTATAAGTTTATAATTCCTAGTTTGCAATCCAAGAAAAGTTTGAATAATGAACAAAAAACTGTATTTAATTTGGAGTTTAAATTTTTCATTGTTCTTAGAATGATTTGCATAATCTCATTTCGCTAACAAAAAATAAACTTTTTTTATTACAGATCCATGTTTTAGGAAAAGGATGTCACTCCCCAGATCCAGATCTTCCAGAAACATTTTTATGGCAGATTGTAAGTTAAAATAAATTTTTGCTAAAACAAAAATAAACTAAAGTAGTTAATGTTAAAGCTGTCCCCATTATAATTAGGCAGGTTGCACAGCTTAATGGCATATTAGTCAGAAATAAATTGGGAAGACTCTGTGACATCTAAATCCTTCAATAAGGTAGTTATTACTTTCAGGATCTCTTGGAGGATTGAAATATGGACTTCATTTCTCAAAAATATCCTAAACCTAATTCCATGCTCTTACTGTTCAGTTATCAGGCTGCCTTATTCCACGCGAAGGTTAGCAATAGTTCCCGATAGTTGTCCTATAAGAATGATGGTTCACAACAATTAACAGGCACAAAGCAACAAATACGCATCGAACACAGGGTTTTAAAAAATAGGCTTTGCACTTCATAGCAAGGTTCGTTCAACAAGCAAAGTTCTGATAACTGTTCCACAATTGATATCCAAAGTGTTGCACCCAGGACCGGACTGGGAGGTTAGAACCACGTTGAAGATCCTTTTTTTCTGATGAAATAGGCATCTAGACTCCACTCTAAACTCCGTCTAGATGAAGTTACGATCAGCTAGTTAAAAAATAAGCTTTGCACTTCATAGCAAGGTTCGTTCAACAAGCAAAGTTCTGGTAACTGTTCCACAATTGATATCCAAAGTGTTACACCCAGGACCGGACTGGGAGGTTAGAACCATGTTGAAGATCCTTTTTTTCTGATGCAATAGGCATCTAGACTCCACTCTAAACTCCGTCTAGATAAAGTTACGATCGGAATCAGTGTTTAGGTTGAGTCTAGATCTAATTTCGTCATGCATGTTTTCATAGTACTGTCAAATCCGGTACTTTCAAGTGATGCATGGAAAAATGTACCTCTCTAAATGAAAAGAGTATACTCTTTTGATGAATGTTTTGGAGAAAGGCGGACAGCTGATTAGGACTGCCACCCCTATATATATATATATATATATATATTAAGCAAAAAAAATTTCTCCGGCTTTTTTATTTATTTTTATAATAATTTTTTTTAAATATCTTAAATATTTATTTTAATAATTTTTCTTCCTTATTCCTTAATCTTTATTACATTTTTTTCTCCACGTTTTCTCTATATATTCTTAACTTTAAACTTATTTTATGAGTTCTATCTACTGGCAGCTCATGTGCAGTTAATAAAACTTATTATTATTTTTTCTTAATTTTCTTCGTCATTCTCTTGTTTCTTTTTTATCCTTTTTGTCTTTATTGTGCTATATATATATATATAAAGAGAGAGAGAGAAAAACCTCCACCATCTCTGTGTAACGANATTATTTTTTCTTAATTTTCTTAGTTATTCTCTTGTTTCTTTTTTATCCTTTTTGTCTTTATTGTGCTATATATATATATATTATTCTTATTCTTTACTTTATTCTTTAGAATTTTAATCAAAGGCAATTTTCAAAAATTTAAACAAATTTCCTTTATTTAACATGAAAAGAGGAAGATAAATGTTAATAACCAGTATAATTTTTTATGCACTGGTTATAGTTTTTATACGTAAAAAATAGCGCTGTTAGTTTATATTGCTGAAACCTTCGCTAGAAATTTCCTTTTATCTTTATCAAAAAAATATAAAAGCGATTTAATAATCCGAAGGGAGTTCTACTCTATCCGGTTTTTCCTGAAACATCCGGAATAATTCACAAACCGATTAGATTTTATTCCTCCGAGAGTACAGAGATATAATAGAGAAGACTAAAAAAGTTAACAAAGCAACTCAATTTTTTCCCATGATTCCTAGCTCAATCTAGTTTTTTTTTTTTCCAGAGGAAAAAAAATATCCCTCTTTTGTATTAGCAACAACATTCTTTTGTCTCGTATTTTTCCCTCTTTCCTCCGCGCTGCATTATTTTACTTTATACTTTTTATCTAAAGACGTCAAAAAATTGTGAAGAAAGTAGGGAATATTTTCTTTTCCCCAGTGACTTGTGCCTCATTATTTCCAAAGACTCTAGCTGTCCCCTTTACTGTCGAATGATTTTCTCCAAGGAGACTTAATCTACCTTTTCCCTACTTATTTCCCTTCATCGCCTGTTTTTTTCTTCCATCTTCTTTTATTTTTCCCTTTTTAGATGTCTCCTTTCCTTGGCGACATTTTATTTTCGTCGGCTACTTTATCCCTCTCTGCCTTTTGTTTTGTCATCAGACCCTACCCCGCTGGAGTGGTAGGTGGAGCTTCCTTTTAAGTAGATATATATGGAGGGAAATAACGTTTATCGGTGTACTTTGTGAAGGCGTGATATGAAAGAAATATCGAGTTTTCAGATGATATTTAGAACAGAGATACGCAGTTTCGAGAAATAGAAACCTGTTCGTGTGTTGAGTTTATAAAATATCTGTAAAAAAAGGGGGGAATTGGCGATTTATCTTGAATAGTGTAAGAGCTTATAAAGCTTCACGATCACGTAAGTTATAACTTTTAACCAAGGCAGCTTGAACTCTTTAGATCTTGGCTTTAATAGCCCCTTTTGAAATATCTTGAATAAGTCCGTGTGTTGCACTTTTTTTTTGCCATTATTTACCGAAAGAATTAATGGTTGGCATACAAAATTGCATAAATGAGTAACAAGAAAATTTCTAAATTAATTTAAAAAAAGTATTAGTTTGATGAGAAAAATTGAATGAATCATGGTAAAAAAATGCACTAGATTTTTGGCAAATGTTTTTTTCCTTTAAATTGAATTGTAAATATATTTTTTTTTAAATTCATGGATTACATACGCGCAAATTTTTTTTAACTATACATTTAAATTAATCGTCGTTATATTCTTAAAATCCGTAACGTAATGGACTTGTTAAAATATTGCATAACCATTAATGAGTAATATTTTGTTTTTCAAATTATTAATGATGTCAGGAAAAATCAGTAGTATTTTTAAAAAAAAATTTATCAGGAAGAACAAATCAGTTTTTCAACTGCTAAAAATGGGAGGACAAAGTGGTTCTTCCATTTAAAAGTTAAATATATGAGGTTAAAAAGGGTTCCGTCTTTTACATGTTAAGGTGAAAAGAAGAGATGTTTTTATCACGTGTCAAGGAGACGATTCTGTTTTTTAAACGCTTACAGGACATGAGGGATAAGTAATCTAATCTTTTATACGTTAAAGGTATATATATGTGGTCTTGTCTTTTAAGCACTTAAGATATGAGAAACAATTCAATTACAAGACTGTTTATTGTATCCCCGCTTTAAAAAAAACAATAACAAAAAAAACTCATTATTAATAAAGAATAAATTGCATGTCTTCAGAGCTTCCTTGCTAGCATTGTTCATTTATACATAATTGTAAAATTTCTATTATGTTACTATAACTGATGTTTCCTAATATCTCTTGAAATGAGAAAAGGATAAAAAGAAGTCTTTTACACGAGGAGAAAAATTACAATGTAATAAAAATAATAGTAAATGTTAATTCAAATGTTCATAGTTACTAAATAAAGCGAAAAAGAAAAGATTCTGCATTACTGAATAAGAACTATAAGCTTGCAATACTAATTGATAATATCATTTTTTATTAATTATTAAATAATAAAGGAAGACAATGCCATATGTATGTTAAGAATAATTACAAGAAAAATTAAAATTATTAATAGTTACTTAATAATATTAGTAGATATAAAATGCTGATCGATGATTTAATTTTTTTTAATATTTTATTTTTAATTTCAGGAAGGTTCTTCGTTAATCAGAATGGCGTCGAAGAATTATGAGCTTCGATCTGGTGAGACAATGCTCATTCCTGCAGATGAAAAGTAAGAAAGCTACGAGATATTAGCAATTTATCAACCATTTAATGCTAAAAATTTGATTTAATTTTTAAAGATTAAATATTATTCATAAAGAAATGAGACTTGAAAAAAAAAATTTCGGTTCTACAAACAACTGTCATAATCACAGCCAAGAAATAGAATGACGAATTTTTTTCTTGGTATTATTGAGGAAAAGATGTTTGTGTTTTTACACTAATGATAGTTTAAAATCTGTGTTTTAGCATTAATGATAGCTTGATATACTTCGAAGAGCCATTACATTATGACCACCCTGCTAATAACATGACCTTTGGCCCTCAAAACTGCTAGCACCCGCAGTGGCATTGATTCCACAAGGTGCTGATAAATAGTCTGAGGTATCTGGTACCAAGCGCTCACCAACTGGTCCTGCAATTTTCTCACATTGCGAGGGGGTAGCGTGGCAGCACGAATTTGGTTTTCCAAGTAGGACCACAAATGCTCTATTGGATTAAGGTCAGGTGAATTTTGGGCCAAGACATGACTTGAAAGTCACTGGAATGTTCCTCGAATCAATCCATGACGATTCGACCGTTATGAGATGGTGCATTATCCTGTTGGTAAACACCATCCCCAGCAGGAAAAACTGTTGCCATGAATGGGTGAACCTGGTCTGCAACTATGTTCAAGTAGCTTACAGACGTCAGGGATTGTTCTATGAGAATTATGGGTCCTAATGTGCCCCATGAAAACATTGTTCCTGGGCGAGAAACCATGAAAACCTGGTCGAGCCCATTGTTATAGATCAGGGGTTTCCAACTTACAGGAGGCCGGGGGCCACAATTAAAAACACAAATCAAATGGCGGGCCGCAACTTTATCAAAATTTCATGTAGGACTCTTTTATGTTTGAAGGAACATTAAATATTACTGTCAGATTTTTACCAAGTTGTAGAAAACAAAAGTGTTGGATTACAAATTAAAATAAGAAGTAGATTTTAAAAAATATTTAATTGCATATTAAAAAATTTGGGCTTCAATAACTTTAATGTGCACCCCTGTATTAAGCAATTAATGTGCAACAGATATCTAATTAAGATATAAAACTTTAAAAAGGTTGGTATTAAAACTTATTGTAGCACACAAAATGTTCAATGACAAAATTGAGTTTTGTCTGCTGCAACCATCAGAGAAAAAATATTTACATTTAAAATTTACAAATGTGTGTGTAAATATTTCCGTCCAAAATAAGTGGTTTAAAAAAGTTAAATCGGAGAATTTCTTCGAGAAAATTTGATACACACCTGCTAAATTATATTCACAAAATACAAAAAAATTAAATAAAAAAAGAGCAACATGCACGATTATTTTTGTATTTGAATAAATATTTTCTTGGATGCAAAACCGGAGAAATAATTTTTTTTGCACCGTTGGTATGTTAAATTTCACAGAAACGAAGAAATTATGTTTTTCAAACGAAAGAAAAGTATTTTAAACCCATATAGATTTTTTACGAAAATTGTCCGCAAAAAAATGACAACTGTAATACATTTTAGTTTGCGGGGCACAAAAAAAGGCTTCGCGGGCCGCCAGTTGGAAACCACCGTTATAGATTGAGGGTGGTCATAATGTAATGGCTCATCGGCGTATGTGTCTTGCTCCTTAATATGTGTTTTGACACGAGTGGGATTTGACATTTGAGACTTGACAGTCTCTCTCCATTTTGTGTCTTGGCAGCAATGTAATGTCTCTCTCCATTTTGTGTCGTGGCACTAATGATAGATTGACATATGTGTATTGGTACACTAATCTATGTCTTGGCATGAACGGGGACTTGGCATTAATGATAATATTATGCCTCTCTTCATTTTGTGCCTGGACAGTAATGATTACTTGCAATTTCTCTGTAATTGTCTTGGCACGAATGATAACTTATTCATTTTGTTTCTTAGTAGTTGGTACTAAAGGTAATACTATTTTACAATATTGAAATGACTTTATATGCCTTCAACGTTTTAGTTTATTATTTCGTTTTGTTCGTCGTAAATACTAAATCATTTTTGAGTATTTGTGTAAACCTTTCATAAAGTATTTCTTAAATTTTAAAAATTTCTATTGATTTTTTTTTTTTTTTACAGATATGAGATCTCTGCTGAGAGTAAATGCCGTATTCTTTCTGTTGTCATGAATCCTTTTACAGAATGAATATCAAAGAAATACCATCTTTTTAAAGAACCCTTACAAGGTTGGCAGGAGTAAAAAAATACTTAACATATATTTCATAAATTATATTATGGACAAATCTGTTTTTAGTGATAAAGAACAGAACGTTGTAAATGAAAACTACTCTAAATACTTTCAGAAGTAAATGAGTAACATGGGTTGTTTCTTTTTATTGTATTTCTGATTGAATGTGTCACTCTATATTATTTAAAATACTACTGTTTTTACTGTAATAATGATAATAATAATAAATGTTCTTTCTCGCATTACGAACGAATAACTGAAATAAATCTAGCTTTTTGTTTATCGGATATGACTGGTTAAACGCAAATAATTTGCAAAAGTGAATAAATTGTTTACGCATTTTTAGAAATTTATTTTCGAATAAATGAGTTGTGTGAGGAATTGTAGTGATTGTAGTTACAAACAATGAATTTTATGACTGAGTATAGAGGTAAATTCTGTGAATTTGTTTCAAATGCAATTTCAATGCTGCAGTGAAACGTGTGTAAATCAAATTTTACGTTACATAAATTAAGAGAAATATATTCAAATCAAAGGTTTCACTGGACTTAAATGTTATGTTTTTTTAAAATCATTTTGAACTTTTGCTTACGGCGCTTAGCATAATGAAGCCATTCTGGTCCATTTATTGTACAAGCCGTACGCAAAAGTTTGAAAAAGAGCACCATCATACAAATCAATCTAGATTAAAACGCGACACTGCACAATAAAAGGGTTGAGTGATCTCGAATTTCTGAGTCATCCTAAGGAAACTGCCTAAGCAGTTCCTTAGGATGGCGAGCACAGTAAACGAGGGGAGTATATTTAGGTGGTAAACAGTTTAAAAGATTTTATTAAAACCTGCATTTTTCTAGTTATAGTCACTGTATTTTCTAATATTAGCAATTTTTTAAAGTTTGAATATACTAAAGAAGTTAGTTTGAAAAGATAAACTAATTTGTAAGTAAGCAACATAAAACTATAATCCTATAATTCTTTTTGATGAAACTGCCAAAGTTCTTATTTGAAATTTTGTAATTTATTGATTTTTAATCAAGTTTTATTGAAGCTGAACTTAACCTACTTTTCCTTAAAATTTATTTTCAGTTTGTAAACCAATATATTTGAATTGGATTTTAAAATTTAAGTTTTTTATTTACTTTTTTAAACTAAAATGTTACTGAGCACATTACGAAATATTGTAGCAATCAACACATACAAAAGTGAAATCTCATATATATTTGATGTTGTTAAATCTTATCAGTCCTTTTATTTACATTCATAAAAAAAAATTCATTCAATGAGAAATTTTGTTCGCAAGAGAGATTTCTTATAAATTTGAAGGGGTAGTTTTTATGCATATATTTTTGGAAACATAAAAATAATTACTCTACATTGTGAAAAAAGGATTTTTAAAAGAAAGTTCATTACATCCTTCATAGCTGGTAATTTATTGCACATCTTATTTTTGTAAGTATATTTATCATTCGCGTCTATACAAAACATTTTAAGGCTAGGTGGATCTTGACTTGACTAAGTGGATGCCGTTATTCATTTTAGGCGAGAAGTCCAAAAGACTTACTTAATCATAATTTTATTCAGGAAAAACTTTTGCAAAAACTTTTGATGTAATAAAAGTGTTATTTTTGATTTAAGATACCCTTCTTATATATCCACGGCTGGTTACTTTTTAACGTACATACTTTTAGTATAAGTAAATTTATTATAACAGTCTATACAAAGCATTTAGGGCTTAGTGGGTCTTGGCTTGATTAAGTGAGCGTTGTTATTCATTTTCCGTGCGAAAGTCCAAAAGGCTTACTTAACCGGAATTCAATTCAGGGAAAACTTTAGAAGGGATTTTCCCTAACCCCCACTTAAGTTATCTAATGCAAAGCTTCTCTTTAACAGATCCATACCTGCTCCCGATTCTTCCCCACCAAAGGGTTAATCCAAGGGTTTTCCGTTCTCCAGTTTCCGGAAATTTGCAGCCGCTTTCGGATATGTTAATCACTTCCGGCGGACCTGATTGAGCTTTTCGATCCTATTGTCGTCATTTCCGCTCCAGTGACTTTCTTCGAAAGCACATCTCACCTCATCTCCTCTGTTTGCCAGATTTAGCACCGCTTGGATGCTTTTATGTGTTATGGTGGAATTGAAATTCTAGCCGAATAGGAGGGGGCCAATTAAATTGCAGAAGCTGCCTTTGACGCGAATATTATTATTTAGATTGGAGAAGGATATTTCCCTTGATTTTTAAAAGCGATTGTTTAGAAGTTGCTTTGGAAAGGAAGCTGCGTGGAAAATGAAACGCTGACTCTCTTATCAGTTGCTTATTAACTGACTTCATTAAACAAGCAAAAAAAAAATCCTTTGCTCCGATATTAATATATGAAACTTTAAGTGACAAAATGCTTTTGCAAAAGAATAAAGAAATATATAGAATAAATTGAAAATTGCAGGATGATTTTAAAGGGAAATGTTTTAATACGGAACCTGCAAGTGTTTTAATATCCCTGACTTTTGTGTGAAGTGACACTAACAGTTACTAATATGTGTTAATACTTAATAATGTGTGTTCACAAAAGCTCATATATTTAACTGTTACTACCATGTATTAACAGTTGCTAATATGTGTTAAGTTACTGCATAATGTGTGTCCAGGGGATGCTGTTATTTGTGATTTTTTCAAGTCTGACATCTTTCCGATTGCGAAGGGAAAAAGGGTCCCCTGCAATTGGTTTTAAAACTTTTTATTTGTCATTTCTTCATGAGATATTAGGCAACCGCAGAACTTATTAGTTGATACCGAGATGTTTCATAGAGCTTACGAAAGTGAATTAATATTTTTACTATCCTATTTTGCATTGACCAAATCAAATTCAAGATAGCGGTGATTTAAACATTGAGGCATATGGTTTATTTTTATATAGATGCTGTTTAATGTAAAATTAAAGTATAGGTTCGAACACATTTAGTAATATATACAATACTGAGAAGTAAATTTAACCCCTTACACCCGAAGCGTCATGAAAGGACATTTACAAGCAACTAACTCCCGTATTCACCATTGACCCTAACCCTCGGTCAGAGTTCAAAACAGGTTTGATGAGAGCAACTCTAGGTTAGAGTCCAAAATTTCATTCCACCATGTACGTGACTGTGAGTTACTCTAACCCAGAATTAAGTAACTTTAAAGGCAAGTGTCGTTTGGTGACGGACTGTGGTGTCCTGGATGCGACTTTACACATTGTCGACTCCCGGGCACCTCCACTCGCCGCGGTTTTATTTGTCAACTGTTTCACCGCCTTATCTAGTAACCCTCACTCAGAGGCAACCCTACGCTCGCCTCAATACAGCACTCGCAAAAGTCATAAACGAATCTTCGCGCTCATGGATATTTTTAAAAGTTGCTTGTTGAATTAAGTTAAAATTTTATCCTCGTTTAAGACTAGAAAAATTCAAATAACGAGAACAAAATACTTCGTCCTTCTTTAAAGAAAGAGGAAGAAAAATTTACATACACACAATTATTTCAGTTAATTACATACATATTTCGATTAAAAAAATTTTCAAATAGAAACTATTCTTGTAAATTAAATAAAAATCTGGAGTAATAAAATATTTATATCTTCAGAATAATCAATTTCTTTTGAATATCTTAATTAATTAACAAAGTTTAAAAAAATAATCCCCTATATAAATCATCACATTATTAAGTGTACATATTTTT